GAATACTCAAGAACCCCAGACCGATCACACTACAACAACACTTTAAAAATTGTTCAACTTTCAGTTGTATTTTGGATATGTACTTTGAACTTTAAGTAGTTTTGTTAAGACATATTCAGGTCATGTTTGACCTTCAATATTATTTTGGATATGATGTATTTTGCACTTAATAACTTTAACATTTTGGATGATCTGTGATGTATTTTCTTAAGTGATGTTTAATCATCAATATCATATCATTTTGGAACATCTGTGATGTCTTTTCTTCACAAACTATAAACTGCAATGTTTGTCAGGTTGTTAAAATTGATGGTTTGTACAACTTTATGCTGATGAAATTTTACACTACTAAATTTAAAAATTGGGCAAACTGAAAAATTGTATTGGCAGCACCAACTTTCAGTTTTAGTGGTTGTCAAAATTAACTGATGACAGAAAGAGAGGGCACAATGTCATTACAACCAGAATCTTCATTAACTAATAAACAAACATTACAATATAACCCCATCAAACACCACTTCATCAAAATTAAAACATAAGACATACAAAGATGATGTTAATCAACCTCATCAAACATAAAAACCCCAACAACACCTTCTCCCTTTTCTTACAAACCACAAGTGATTTTTCCAAACAAATAATCTTTCTCCTTTGCCATTCAATTGTAATATCCCTTTCATCTATATAATCTTCAGTGCGTCATTTGAAGAAATTACATCCTCGCACTTCCTCGTTTCGACTCTGCTGTTTAAAACATCCAACCGAAAACATCTCAGGATAAAGCGAACTAATGTACCCCAAAATAAAAACACAACGTAGAAAACATACCTTGTAATTAGGGCACCCCAAAAATGCTTCCCCTCGTTCTTAACCGTTTTTGCCACTCTTAATACGGTAAACTCTCCACAATAGCATATTTGGCTGCCAACCATTCCTCGTGATGAACCACCACGCGAGGTCCCCCATGAGCAAGACGAGCATTGATTCATTGACATTGCCTCCACCAACCACACAATACTGCTTCCTCGACACCTACAAAACCACCCCAATCCCAACCACCCAACTTAGGGCACCTACCTCATAAACAACGAACTTCACAAACTGAGTTAGGATGAACAACTTAGGGCACCCCACCTCAGCTCACCGCCTTCAGATCACCTCCTTCCCCTAAGCTCGTTGGAGATTAAAATGTTAGGGCAAATCCCTATGCATTTGGTTTTCCAAATTAAAAGGACATTTTCATACCTGGCGAAAGCTAAAAAATTTGCATTTGCCACGTTGGATAAATAATTTGCCACATCTTTTAACCTTTAACGTCGTTCCTACCACTGTAACGGACATGACTTAAGTTACACAATTTTTGTTAAATGGGGACCGAATGTCTTCATTTTTAAAACCGAGTACTAAACAAAAATTCAGCTTTTATCTTGGGAACGAAGTAAACTATTAAGCCTATTTTTTATCACTAAAATTAATTGAATTCCGTGAAAACTTGTATAATTTATAAAAGAGTATAAGACGTGACCAACAAATCATTACAAAACTCAAGGGTCTTCTTATTACTTTGTCTATTACACTTATACTATCATTAATTTTCTTATAATTTTTTTAAAGTTATTTGTGAAAGTTATTTCAAGAATAGCAAAATGATATTTTGACAAATGTCTTTTAGAAATCTTTAAAAGCTTTTTTGAAGTTCTATTTAACTTTTTTTTTCTTCTAAAAGATAGAAGCCCGATAGGGGTGAAATAATATGTCTAACAAACACCCAACAATCATTAGGATAAGCTCTAGCCTGACTCTAATACCATGTTAGAAAAAGACTTTAAGCCTAACTCAACTCCATAAAACCAACTTGTAGGATAAGGCTTGCACCCACTTATAAAATATGAATTGACATTATCTTTATTCGATGTGAGACTTCCAACTCATATTCCTATAAATTATATAAAAAAACTACACAATTACAATAAAAGTGAGAAGTAGGGAGAACAAAATAATAAATAAAAAAAGATCAAATTCTATAACATAAACATATTAACTGATTGTATTGAACAATCTTTGGACTCTTGTTTTCTAAACTTAAAATCTTCGGTTATTCATTCAAAGTTAATTACATATTAAAATTGCTTTTTCATTTAATAAACATACATACATGATAATTATTAAAACTCTAAATATCAAAAACACATTTAACTACTTTAACTATTTACTATAGTTAAGTTCAAACGAAATTGATAAAATTAAAAAAATTTATATTAAAAGATTATTTTTTCTTACAACTATTTACTTAATCAACACTAGAAATAATAAGTAGTCCGAGTATCTTATAGCTTGAATAATAACTTGATGATATGGAAGCCTCTCGAGCATAAACACAAACACTTAGAAGAAGCAAAGCGAATCTGTAAGAGAGGAACATCGAAGTGAGAAGAAGAAAGGTTGGAGAAAATGGAAGACGTGATAACAGAAGCAGCAGGACCTTCAAGGTTCTTGGAAGAAGACCTAAACATCTTCACAACTCCATCGCCACCCCTTCCTTCACCCTTCCTCATCTTCCCCTACACCCAACAACCCCAACCCCTCAAACCCTCCCTCCTCATCGTCGCCCTCTCCCCTTCCTCCATCGCCCTCTTCCACCGCCTCCGCACCGCCTCCCCCGCCGCCTCGCTCCTCCTCCCCGAACTCTCCCTCTCTCTCCCCGACCATGCCGCCCAAATTCTCCTCCTTTCCCCCTCCGCCCTCCTCGCCGCCATCCCGTTCCCGGTCCCCGGTTCCCGCGCCCACGCCGTCGCCAAAGCCCTCCTCGACGGCCGCATCTGCCCCGACTCCGTCCTCATCCTTGACTCCCTCGAGTCGCGCAACTTCCGCGGCAAGCTATCCTCCGATGAGGCCGTGGCGTTCAAGCTGGACAGCGCCGCTGAGAGAAAGAGAAGCGGCGGAGAGAAGCTCCTGCCGGATTTGGAGTATTTTCCTTCCGGAAGCGTTGTTGACGGGCTGGGCGCTGCCATTCTCGCACGGTGCCAGGTGATGAACGTGAGAGCGAGCTTGTGTGTTTCGTGGCCTCAGTTCGACGCCTCTGTGGTGTCGTTGATTAAGGGTTTGCTTCAGCGCCACGTGTTGCAGGGATTTGATTTTGATTTGAGTGACGAAGACGTTTTTAAATTTGGGAGGAGCAAGGATAGGGTTTTGCATTCTGAGTTGTATATTTGATTTGTGCTTTGTTATGTGAATGTTTTGATCCACTGGGACTAATTCATTTGTGTTTGATTATTTTGGTTAACTTGTGTTGTTATGGTTGGTAGCTTGGTATATTGATTTTCGCCTAAGATTTTACACTGAAACATATTCTAGATTGTGTCTGATGTCATGGCTGTGTTGATTTACTCTTGGGATGACCATGGATTGCAAATTTGCAGTATTTTGGTTTATTTGTATTGGCTGATTATATCTTTGTCTATGCATTTTTAAAATGGTTGATGCTGTCTAAAATGCGTTAGTTGCCGATGTTATTGCAATTGATTCCCTGAAATATATGATCTCTTAGTGCTGTGGATTCCATGTAATTAAAATCCACCATCAAGGATTAATCTCTTTCTCATTGGATTAGTGCTAATTTAACTTGTGTGGTCAATTGTTTGAATAATTTCTTTTTTGGAATTCAAGTGAGTTTAAGTCGCTGGTTGGGTAGAGATGAAAAAGTTGAGTAACTTATAAGGAAGAAGACACATAAATCTATTGTCTTAAGATAAGATTTTGAGATGAAGTGGTGGAAAGTCTCTTATGTAGGTTTAACTCATTTCGTTGTTATTGTGTCTCTTTTGTGACTCCTTCCTGGAAAAACCCAATAGGCTCCTATTTAGTGCTTGTTTGAATTGTATGGTTGCATGATGCAACAATAGTTTTGATCCTTGATCTTAAGCAAGGTTTTAATTTGTCAACAGTATCACACCGTGACATAGGGGTTCCACTGGTTGCAGACCAAAATTGGTCTGTAATGGCCTCGATGTAATTGCGACTGTGGTCTGTGTAAAGTGTGTATCCATCAGTTTTAAGTTAGTTAATTAGTTGCCAGCCATAGAGCTGAAAGATTTCAGATGAGTAGTACACATGTAGCGAGGCCTGTATAGGTCTATATAGTATATATTTATGTGTGTCATCATTATGTAAGATATATACAAAACCACCTTGTGCAACTACACTGAAACTCTTATAGTGGAAAATTAGAGAAGTGAACGGGGAGACTGTGAGTGTGAGCAACAAAGAAAATGCTTGATATTCTTGGAATTATTTTCTGAAGAGTGAAAGAGAAAAGGCAACATAAGCCAAGGAGAAAGGTTCTGTTGTAAGAAAACCATGATCTTGATCACAATAATTCAATTGAAACATTGGCTTAAACATGTATATCTGTCGGTAATCTCCCTTTTACCAGTCTGTATGTTGTTTTCTGGTTTCATGACTTTTGGTTTGCGTTTCTGTGTTGTCTGGTTTTGCAAGAAGAATCTTCGTAACTCAATTTTCAGGACAGCTTTTGCATAACTGTGACTGAAATTGGACCACTACAATTTAAAACCTTGAGTACAAGTAGTAGGATAGTCGGAGGCATGGCTAGTGTAATTTCATTTAGTTTTCGCTCGAAAGATGCTTTACAAGCTGTAGATGTTAGTAACTAATCTGAATTTGTTTTTGAATGATGGTAGCTATGGAGGACGGAGTTATTGACTTGTATTCAATCAATATACAGATGAAGTTTGGGGCATTGGATGTCTGATAATAGTATTTGAAGAATTCAAATGCATAAGTTTTACATTAAGTAAAGAATATATATAAAAAGAAATTTTTTAAGAAATTCTTGCATTAAGTTTTTTTTTTAAAAATAATATGAAATCTCTTATATGGATCGATCCATAATTTATTTAATTCAAATTTCTTTAATTATATACCTGTGGGGAGAGTTTGCCGTGAGACAGTCCTCTGTTCCTTTATTACTGACTAAATTGTCTTTTCAAGAGAAGTAGATCCTGTTAGGGATCAGAATAGAAAGTACGTATAAATTTCATATTAAATTTCTAACAGGAAAAGTAAAATAATTTTCATTAATTATTGAAAATTCGACACGTGTTCTGAAGCTACAATCTCAATGTTGCTTGAATCCGATTGATTTACTTGCATTCTCTTTGTTGGGTTTGTATACAATCTTCTACTAATTGTTAAAATGGATAAAGTCAATATGGACGATAATTTTGGAGATATTTGCCATCTATTCTTATAGTTAAAGATACCTTTAATCGTGTACTTGAGGACAAAACTTGTAACATGTTTTCCTTTCTTTTGTAAAACAAGGAATTTGACAAAGTCCAAATGCAATCTCATTCTTGGAAGAAACAAGGAGAAAGCCAAACGTGCAAATTGACACTATATATAAAAACTGCAAAGATAATAAGATTAGCTGTTATTAGTTTTGTTTGGTGACTTCTCAACGGGGAATATTACTTTTAGTTTAAGAACACCCACCAACTTAATCATATTAGTTGCATCTTCTATTGACTCTTACAAACATATTTTCTAAACACTCAAGTAGCCAATGAAGGAACAAGGTGCAACACTCTACTTCAAACACCTTATATATACTCATCATTCTCACCTATCTCTCCCACCCTTCTTTTCTTCAAACTTAAAGCACTAACAATGGATCCTTCCTTTACTTCAAAATCCCTTCTGCATGTTTTTCTTATCTTAGGCTTTCTTGGTACCACCAGATTGCATGCAAGTGACACTCCTCTGACACTGGATTACTATGCATCAACTTGCCCCACTGTGTTTGATATTGTCAGTAAGGAAATGGAATGTGCAGTTCTTTCTGATCCCCGCAATGCAGCAAAGATAGTCCGGCTACATTTCCATGACTGCTTTGTTCAGGTTTGCGACATCTTCGTATCACTTAACCATATCTGTACCGGTCGTAAGCAATTATGGTGCTTGTAATAGTTCTATAGTTTCATTTTGAGGAAACCAAAAGGTAACTCATATACAATTCAATAACTATTGTATGTGTTGCTCTCCAATTAGAATTACAAATTTTCTTTAGTAATATGCATAATGTAAACTTTTATTTGGCACTGTAATAAGGTAAAACTCCAATTCTAATTAATGGATAGCAGAAACAAGAGCTATAGAATTGTATAAGTTCTGTCCTATCATATGATATAAAACCAATATGAATTCAATGAGAAATATATACACAATAACTAGATGTCATAATCTTCATGGGGTCAGGGATGCGATGGATCCATTTTGCTTGATGATACAGTCACACTTAAAGGTGAGAAAAAGGCAGCTAACAACATCAACTCTTTGAAAGGCTCGGCAATCGTTGATAGAATAAAAAACATGGTTGAATCAGAGTGCCCTGGAGTTGTTTCTTGCGCTGATATTCTCACAATTGCAGCCAGAGATGCTGTGATTCTGGTAAAAGAAAACCCTTTCTTCTATATTTTATCAAATAGTTTTCATAGATTTTAATCTTTAATTTTCTGCATAGAAGTTAGTAGAATTATTTATGCAGATGCCTCTTTTCTCTGATCTGTTGTAGGTAGGGGGGCCATACTGGGATGTTCCTGTGGGAAGGAAGGATTCTGTCACTGCAAATTTTGAACTTGCCAACACCAATCTTCCCACTCCAGAGGAGAGCCTTCTCTCTATCATTGCCAAGTTTCTTTACCAAGGTCTATCTGTGACTGATATGGTAGCCCTTGCAGGTATATTAAATTTCCTATGAATGGAATAAAACTTTGAATATTTATCTACTTTTATCTCTTTTAAATATCACAATTTTCTGGTTTAAGCTTTTAAAAAGCTATTTGGTGATTTTAATTTTTGTTAAGAAATAGACTTTAAGTCTAACTCAACCCTACAAAATCGACTTGTAAGATGAAGTTTGCATTAACAATATTATAAATTGACTTTATCTCTAGTCAACGTGAGATCTCCGATAATTCTCATAATTTTTAGTTTCTATCATCATCTAGTGAAGAATTAACATGCATTTGGAGATATGAGTTTCATGAGTGATAGACATAATTGTGATCTACCACCTCATCTTCCCTACTTCTCAAAAGATTCCTAGATGTATTAAGCACTTTCTTCATACCACAGTTTCTGATAACTAATCCTGCAGGAGCCCACACCATTGGCATGGCACAGTGTAAGAATTTCAGGTCAAGAATTTATGGAGGCTTTGACTCAGTATCATTGAAAAATCCAATTTCTGAGAGTCACCGCAGCAACCTGAGATCTGTTTGTCCACCTGTTGGGGGAGGAGACAACAACATAACTGCAATGGACTATATGACACCTAATCTGTTTGATAATTCTTTCTACCAGTTACTGCTAAATGGGGAGGGAGTTCTCAACTCAGACCAAGAAATGTACTCAAGTTTGTTTGGTATTGAAACTAGAGAGCTTGTGAAGAAGTATGCAGCAGATCCTCTGGCTTTCTTCCAACAGTTCTCAGAGTCAATGGTGAAAATGGGAAATATAACAAACTCGGAAAGCTTCATCACTGGGGAAGTTAGGAAGAACTGCAGATTTGTCAACACATAGACTTCATTTTTCTGTTTTATATGCCTTTTTGTTTGCTTCCACACACAAAGAACCACCAATTTATGTGTTCCAGCTACAACAAATTGATAATTCTAAACCAAGCTAGCAATTATACAATGAACAAATTAAGTGAGAAGTTGTTGATTTCCCTTTTTCATGAACAAATTAAGTGTTAAGTCTGATAATGAGAGTTGTAAGAACCAATGCTATTTACACAAGAGTTGCTTCCAAACTGTATGGCTTGATTAAGCTCATGTCAAGTTCCTCATATTCCTACACTCTAAGTCTAACTTTTTTTCCTATATCAATTACGAGTAAATAATATATGTAATGATAGTGTCAAAAGGTTTTTCTACTTTAATCTACTCACAGATAAATATGTATGGTAAGCTTGTTAATTTTTATGATAATTATCTTAGAGATTGTACGATGACGATTTCCGTGGAGTTGATAATTAATTTCTATAAAATATTTCAACGACAATGATTTCCTACTGAAAACTTTAACTTGCCAAAATTCTCACGAGTACTTTGGTAATTTATATTGACATTATAAGATAGTTGTTGAAAAAATTTCAAAATTCATTTGTCATATGTAAGTGAAATGAACTTTTTAGATTTTTTGTAACTATAATTTGGACTAATTAATGTAAATTATGTGATTATAAATGTTAATCAATCAAAGATGTTGTGACTAGTATCTGATTTATTGAAATCAATGAAAGCCGCAATGTGATACTCTGAGACCTCGCCAATGACGACACCCCTTTCCCTAATGCCAACACCAGATTCATACAATCCATCCATAATTTGTTTCAATTTCAAACAACAAAGAATTAATTTACATCACTTACATAGAAGAACCTATATGAAAATTGAACAATACAAATTGATGAAGAATGTATATAATGCTCTTTACCTTTCAATGAAGTCCATGTTCAAGGGAGGGACCGATAATCGAAGTCTTGATCATAATGTACAGATTTCCCAACCCTAAAGATATATATATATAATTATTTAATATTATATAAACGTATATAATATTATCTACCTATTTATGAATTTTTATTGTAAGCACAGGGAGATATTCCAATACAAGTTGTTCTCTTCATTGTGAATTGAAAGATAGTCAAAATTAGAAGTAGTGGAGTTGTCATGTCAAACAACTACTTCCCTCATTTCAAATTCATCTCCTTTATTCATCTTTCATTCTATGTATTAGGTTTAGAAAACTCCATTCTTTTCTGTCTCCCTTTCCACACTCAAAAATACTATAAAGAAAGGCCATTCTCATTGACTCATAACAATTTCATTTCTCCAATGACATTGACAAACACTTTTTTCAAACCTAACCATAAGAGCAATAACAAAAAGACTCCAATATAAGAAGATTTTAACTTTTTTTAATCAGTTTAAGTATATTATTCCAAGATTATTTGTTAGTCTATGATATTCGTGAATATAGAACTAATTAGATTTATCAGTAGACTTCAAAGAGAGTAATTTTTTTTTCGAAGATATAATTTTCCTATAGGCTAATTTGACTGAGTATATAGTATACACCTTAGTTATATATGCCACTCATATATTGTGTGAGATAATCCATGATTATAATTTGTATATGTTTCCCGTAAGAGCTTCAAGAGAAATTATAATAAATCTCTTTTTGAAAGGAGCAAAACTTTATTATTACAAGTCGTAATTGTAAAGAGAATTCATACTTACAACGTAATAACATAGTAAATAGTAGAAATAAGTTATAATCATGCAATGTAGTTTCTGTATAAGATATATTTGCTTTTGACACTAGTTGTCGGACCAACTCCACCTTTAATTTCAAGTAGATTCTGTAATTTTTTTTAATTAAAATATAAAAGTAAGGAAATGCTACTCTCTAACACCCTCTTAACAATTACAATTTTGTAATTCTAACATTTCTTCTAACAAGAAAAATATGTTCAAAAAAGATAAAAAAAACACTTACAAATCTTCATGATTTAAATAAAGTTAAAATTCCTATAAAGATGCCATATTAGTTATGTTTTTCAACAACAGGTCCACCAACAGTTTACCTACCCTCCCAACATAGGACATAAACAATATCTTCTGTTCTTATCCTTCCGTTGTGCTTAACTCAACATATATTGTTCATCTCTGTATAAAGCATTCAGTGTTTCCAAACTTATTACCTGCTACTACATTTTTCAAACTAGCTACACCAAATGAATAGGTCCATATAACCCCAAAACATGTTAAAGTGATAACAATTAAATAGCTAGAAAGAACAAATATCAGGTTTTATCTGGCCAATCTTTGATGAAATCATCTTCATTTTCATCTTCAGCATATTGTTTATCACTATCAAATTCTTTCTTAGATGAAAATGTTCTTCAATATTGATACAAAAGCTATATTTTCTAGATTAATTATATCTAAACTTGAATCTCTTCCTACTGAAACTAAGTTAGCAATTTTACTACCATATTCACCTTGAGCTTGTTCAACCTTAACAACATTTTGTCTCTCTTGAGCTATCTATTCATTTTGAAACTCAATATCATCAAATCGAAGAAATTACTTCATAAGCTCCAATTCAGAGAACTTTTGAAATATTATTGTTCCCGACATTTGGGATTTCTATGGTAACTTGTCTTTCTTCATTAATTCCTTTTCTTGATTAAATTTTAACTCAGGTGAGTTTTTCTTCCTGTTATAGATATCATGACCCACACCAACCCGTGCAATCTCAATTATCTCAAGAAGTTACTAGGTAAATATCCAACAAGGTCGAGCGATGCTAGAGCTACTACCGAGGAGGGCGCTTTGACCAAGGCCGAAGGAGAGGGAACATCAGTCAGCCACGCTGATGCAATGCGAGTCTCCCTTGTTGGTTAAAACAACCGGTATCGTCGAGTTGTGCAGCGAAATAAAATAGCGGAAAGTGTGTTACGGTCAAAAGTCAAGTTAAAATAGTCGATTTCAAAAATTGATTTTCTTAGTAAACTTTTATCGAACAATTGATATGCTAAAAGTTTAAAGAGTGTAGTGTTCAAGAAAATCAACACAGAAAATTTATCCTGGTTCGAATCAAAAGATTCTACGTCCAGGCGTTAATCACTATAATTAGTTATTAACCTTTTTTTTCACTAAGATGGTTTGCAGATTACAATTTGATAATCAAAATAAGCAAAGAATAGAAAACACCTTCATTCGACAAACGAACAGAAGAACCTTCATTTCGACAAACGAACGGAAGAACCTTCCTTTCGACAAACGAAAGGAAGAATCTGTTCATCCAACTTGAAGAGAATCGCTCTGACCTTAGATACACTAAGCACGAGCTTCTCCTATTTACAAGACTTGACTTAAGCAACTCTATCACTTGAGAACTTCCTTAGACAAATTGTATTCTCAAATGGCATAGATCCCTTTTCACTCTCAGAGAGCTTCCCTTATGCACAAATCTCTAATACTCTCAAAATGAAAAGTTCCTTCCTAAGAGCGGAGGAAAACACTATTTATAACCCAAGGTTCATAAAATGAAAAGACAACTCCCAAGTGTCAAATATAATATATTATCATAAGTGATAATCGATTATTTGTGTCCGTTATGGGGTTTTCAAAAAGTGATAATCAATTATCTTGAGTGATAATCGATTATTTGCACGACTTTGACAATACTAACTCAGACTGAAATAATCGATTATTATACCAAATAATCGATTATCTGCGCAAAGACTCTCTAAACAGGAAAACTTCTAAGAGTTCTTACATTAACAAAGTAATTCCTATACAATTAATTCTACAAAATGCTTTTAAATAAATACAACAAAAGTCTTCACGTTCTTCATCTTGTAGCATCATCAAAACCATAATATCTTCAAGACACCAATGCTCCTCATTGGTAAATAATCAAGTATTTAGAACATTTATCTTCTAAAAAGTTTTCCAGTAAAGGATATTGATCGAGCTTCCTTGATCAACCAGGACCTTCCTTGACTCTAGCGCCTTGAAGTCTTCATTGGTGAAGGTGATGTGCAACATGCTTTTAATCCTTTGCTCTACCTAATGTATCAACTTAAGCGCTTTGATATGTCTTTTGCGTGCTAACACCGAGGATGTTCCTCTTACAAATCCACCAGAGATCGTGTTTATGTAACTATTAGCAAAATCATGAAGTATAGAAGTTTTGATGATGCCAAATTCAAGTTTCAAGTACTCACTTTGGAAGAAGACCTTCATGAAGACTTGTTTTATATGTTAAAGCTTTTGTGATTAGTAGTTTATGTATAGGGCTTGATGTTTTGTTTGATTCCATGTATTTTATGCTTTAAAGTTCTATTTGGAGTCAAAATACTTTGTAATAATTGATTAGCTACTTAAGATAATCGATTATCGTAGAGAGGTTTTTAAGTTTGATGAAAACTCATATTTGGCTCTAGAATAATCAATTACCAGATAATCGATCATCCATAATCAATTATGACTTACCATAATCGATTATCACTACTAGTCGTTGGAGTTTTTTAGCATGTTTTTTTACTGTTGTGCATTCATTAAATGCATAATCGATTACTATTAGTGGATAATCGATTATCAGTGTCAAATTTTGATGGGGACAAACTTTGTCAAATTTGACCAAATTTTGGTCAAGATTGACTCTGTCGAATTCAGTCGGGTCCTATCTCGACCATTGGTCCATGTCGACTTGTGTTAACCTTCTACCCGAGTAGACCCGTCTCATCCTATTTCTTGAGCTGGCAAATCTCGGCCTTCAGCCTAAACCAGCGTGCATTGAATATCAACCTAGTAAGCTTGTCTCGACCATCGGCTCGGGCTTACCGGTCTCGACCATCAACCCTGGAAATCTTGTCCCAACCTTCATCCTAAGTCCACCCTTCTTGACCTTTGGCTCGTGATTGTGTTCTCAAACTTTGATAAGCTGATATGTCCAACCTTTGAGTGAGTCACGTTCTTCAGCCCAGGTCGACTTGTATTGATCTCTGACTTGGGATGACCCGTCATGACCTTCGATTCGAGTCACCAGTCTCAACCTTCGACCAAGGTCAACCCGTCTTGATCTTTGGCCCGAGTTGTCCTATCTCAACCTTCAGTCCGAGTAGACCAATCTCAACCT